CGGGGAGGAGTTCCAGCGATCATAAACTCCGTATAGTTTCTTAACTTTTCGTAAAAAGCAAGGGTTTTGATCTTTGCCCAGAGATACCTTTTTTCGTATTGGGTATCATCAGCATCTATTTCTTCGGATTCTAAAAGGGCGATCAATTCCCTTGCTTTGGCATTATCTCTGGCATACCAAATAGTTTGCTTTTCTGAAAACTGGAAACCATGTGCTTTCAACAATTCACGAACCTCTACTGTTGGTCGTACTGACCCAAACCGTAACTCAATTCCATCGGGTGCTTTTTTTCCGTTGCGATTGGTGCGGTTATTGTTGTAAGTTACTTCGGGTTTAAATTTTATAATAGCCCCTAGTTCTTCTTCCGCATTTCGACTGCAAGGGCAGCCCAAACACTTACAACTTAAACAGGTATGTCCGTTTGTCTTTGGCATGGTTAAAGTATTCTATCGCCTTTTCTTCTGTGATAGGCTATAATTGCTTTTTGCAATCCTGGAGGTAATTTTTTCTTTTGTTTGTCGGTTAACTTAAATGTCCCCGCAGGCCCATTTAAGCAGCCTCTTTTCAAACGTTTGGCTTTTTCTCTTTTGGCCTCAGTGCTTAAAATTCTGCCTGCTTTTTTTGATTTACGGGTCGAGAGTAAATGTCCCGCTTCGCTGATACGGTAAGTTGGCTTACAACTCACTTTTGTTTTTCTTCTTTTCTTTGCCATGATTTTATTTTTTGGTTTGTATTTTTATCTGTGATTAATTGTAGGTTAAGGTTGTCCTGTCAGACCACTTGTTTACGAAGGTTCGGGCGTTATTTGCCCACAGATGATTTTCTGTGCTTCCAACGTTGGTCACCTTTTCAATTGCCCAAACAAAGCTGGCTTGACTTGAGCCAATTACTGCATAGCCCTTGTAAATTATTTCCGGCTGGCTATCGTCAATAATTAATGGCCCGTATAGTAACCGATCATCAAATTTTGAAACGTTGGTATTGATTGTACCTATTGTTGCGTTCATGGAAGTGATCGTGCTGTTTATTGTTGTGATGTTTGAGCTGATTCCATTCACATTCGTATTGATTCCGTTTACTGTTGTGTTTAAGCTGCCAACGGCAGTGTTCAATGAATTGACATTGGTGCTTATAGTTCCCACATTCGTACTAACAGTATTTAGATTAGTGTTCATCGTGGCTACTGTATCATTGATTGTGTTAACCTTTGTATTCGTGCTGCCAACGGTAGTGTTGACAGAATTAAGGGTTGTGTTCATATTTCCAACATTTGTACCCAGAGTATTGACATTAGAGTTAATAGTTCCAACCGTTGTATTTGTGGCGTTAACTGTTGTGTTTACGCTTCCAACTGCGCTGTTTAAAGAATTAACTGTAGTATTCATATTTCCCACAGTCGTGCTTAAAGTATTAAGGTTTGGTATTCATCGTGCCAACCGTATCGTTGGTGCTGTTCACTTTTGTATTCATGCTGCCTACAACAGAGTTTAAGGAGTTAAGAGTAGTGTTCATGTTTCCGACAGTGGTACTTAATGTTGTAACTGTATCATCCATTGCGCTAACTTTTGTGTTGACAGTGCCAAGAGTTGTATTTACAGAACTTAAAACAGTGTTTTGATTTAGTACATTAGTTGCTACCGTGTTTAGATTAGTATTGATTGTTCCAACAGTTTCATAAGTACCGTTCACTTTTGTATTCATGCTGCCAACTACTGAATTCAAAGAGTTCAAAGTTGGTGTTCATGCTTCCAACAGTTTC